ATCATCATCATCATCATCATCATCATCATCATCATCATCATCATCATCATCATTTTCTTCATTTTCATCATCATCATCATCATCATCATCATCATCATCATCATTGTTCGGAAAGCAGAGTAGAAGGGAGAGTCTTGCTTGATTTTCAGACAAAGTAATGCAAAAAAATAAAATTAATGTTTAAAATTTGTTTTTATTGAAACAGCTCAGAGTCATCACCATCATCATCATCATCATCAGCATCATCATCAGCATCATCATCATTGTCTTTCTCACCCTGGGCTGATTTCTCATGTCAGGACACTTTAAGTCTTAGTAGTTTGAGGAAGAATTTTATGACAATTGGGTGCTTAATTAAAGTAAGACTCTTCAGCTGCCACCTGTGCTGTCTTAAATAGCATGGCAGTGCCTCGGCTTTTTAAATGTCTTACAACAGTATCTTAGCGTCTTATAGCACTGTCTTTTAGAAGTGTCTTAGGGTCCTATAACTGTCTTATAGCAGTCTTATAGCAGTGTCTTACCATCTTATACCTGTTTTATAACATTGTCTAGTCTTAGCATCTTATACCTGTTTTATAACATTGTCTAGTCTTACCATCTTATAACTGTCTTATAATAACTGTCTTATAGCAGCATCTTGCAGCAGCATCTTATAGGCCCATTAATCGTGTCTCTGTGTCTTGTCACAGCTAGTGTTTTAACCCAATGTCTTATTAAAGTGTCTTAATTAAAACAATGCTTATAACAATGTCTTACAGCAATATCTTATTATAATATATTATATGGTCTGTGGCATTTTATTTCCCAGGTAACCGACACATTCTGAGCAGTGGCTCCATGTGGTACAATGAAATAGCTGAGGTCTTAGACAAGGAGTTCCGCAGTCAAGGTGTGATGTTATGTTTTGAAATATGACGTTGATGTGGTCAGTCGTTTGCTGTTTGCTCTTTTCTTTTCTGCTGTTCGTTTTTGCTTCTTCCTTTTTTTTTTGTACCAAGTTGTTTTGTTTTTGTTTTGCTGGGGAGGTTCACACGTATGCGGGTGGTTGGCGGGTGCTCTGGTGTGGTTTGCTCCTTTTTTCCTATAAAAACTCTCGTCTTTATCCCCCCTCCTTCTTTTTTGTGTTTAATTGTTACTCTCTCGCAACACCTCTAATTTTCGACACTTATGTGACCTTATTGCGTTGCAAGTGCCGTAAAACTCTTACTAAAACAAACAAACCCAGTCACATACTAGCCACAGTTGTCTCTGAGAAACATGCTATCTTTTAAGACTTCAGGCCAGACCGAAGGGCTAGAAGAACCCAAATGGCCGCTGGATCGGAAAAGTGAAAGTAAAGACTTCAGACTTCAGATGGAAGAGAAAGAAAACAAATTCTCAATGGGAGGCAATCATGGGAACTGCTAAACAGCTCTGTAGTCAACTGCTTATGTCTCCTTATTTAGACGGGGAAAGGGACAATAACGTGGGGGGGGGTTTTTCTTCACTCACGGGGTAGTTTGAAGCAAGTATACTTCAGTTTTAAAACGAGCAATTCATCTGTAATAGAGGGTCAAATGCATGAATAATCTAGTGAAACATTATATTACGTTCATGAATTTCTTTTTTTTTTTTCTTTTTTCACTATTCAGGTTACAACGTGCCAACCACAGTTCTACCAGGCTTTCTCGTGTCTGTTGTTGGATTCTTCGATAAAGCTGTCAAGATAGCGAAAGATTTTGCCAGTAAAGAGACGTTATTGGATACTGGAAGGGTGAGTGAAAACTAATGCCTGGACAAGCTATGTAGGCTATAAATTTAAAAATATATAAAATCCACCCACATGCTTTTCCAGTTACATGTAAAAAGTGTATGCGTGCGTTTTGTTTGCTTGTTTGTTTGTTTGTTTTTTTGGGTGGGCACGGTTGTTGGAGGAAAGGAAAGAGGACGGGGTGGGAGGGTTGGGGCGGGGGGGGGGGGGGGAAGGGCACCCTTCAAGAATGAAGGGGGGGGAGGGCACCCTTCAAGAATGAAAATAATGAAACAGATATAACACCTACACTCAAATGAAAGTTATAGATCGAGTTTCTTACTTCCCTTGAACTACAAATAGTTGGAGTGCAGTTATTGTCCTGGTATGACACAAACTTAATTTAAAATGTTTAATGTCTGATGTTTATTCTTTGAAAATATAGGGCTAGTGAGCTTTCTTCATGTCCAAATAGCTTATTGAGATTTGATGCTTTATAAGCTTTTTCAGAATGTAGATTGAGTAATATAGATAAGTCACTTAGTTTAAAGACAGGTACAACATCGGGTTACAGATCTACGGGGAGTTTATTTTAGGCTATATTTTGGCTATTTTGATATCATTTTTATGCTTCAGTGTTATGACTTTCTTTTTGAAATTGTAGTTCAGAAAAAAACTCAACAAATATCTCTTTATTCCCTTATCTATACAGGCAAAGTCTTTTAGTCAATTTAAAAGTCAATCTTCAATAAGTGTTGATGTAGACTATTCGGACATCTCTGATATAGTATGGATGATTGTTGGAATCGCACATGTGAATTTTGTTGAAGGAGACATATCTGCTCTCCTCTTATTTAACAATTTCCTATCTATTAAGCTTAAAACTTATATATAATTCAGAGCCAAGAGATATCTTGTAAACAACCAAAGTTATAGAATAGACCTACGCCCTATACAGGGATTTGAACCAGGATTACCCGCGATGAGGTCTGCTGTGGTACAAGAAGATTTATATAACAGTTTGGTCTAATGTTGTTTTCAGATGAGAAATGTGCTGGGCATCAAGCCAATTCCCATTGAGCAGACACTGATTGACATGGGCTACAGTTTGATCGAGAACGGCTTTGTGCCGAAGACGGACAAATACAGGGGCCCCCAGCAGAGTAACCCGCCATCGATTTGATCTACAGTCAGAACATTTCTGCATACACGTGAGTTTTAGTTTGAGTGTGAGTGTGAGGAAAGAGAAGCACATCATGGCAATTAGAATGATGATAATAATAATAATAGTAATAATGATAATAATAATAATGATAGAAACAATAGTAATAGATAGCATTTGTGTAGCACAAATTCCCGCCCAACAGCAAGCTCTGTGCGCTTTGCAGTCTAACATTATTACCCCAACAGACCTGATAGCTTTCTGAAACAATCTCAACTTCCTGAGAAACATACAGTGCAAGCTGCCATTTTATATAGGTGCTAAAACTCTAACGTACTGACAAAATCTTTCGCTGTCTATGGCCTGAGCCCACAACTCATGATTTAGAATCTGGTTGCCTGACCACAAGACTACACAAGCCAAAATAAATGCCGTAGTTCAGGGTAAAGGCAATATAGATTGAAATAAAGGCAAGATAGATAGACAGAAGGTGGGCCTACAAGAAAGAAAGAAATGAAAAAGGATCTACCTCTGGTACTCTTTAACCTCTCATGCGGCGTTTTAGTTAGAGTATATAAGTAAATAGAAGTGTACTGACACAGTAAGGGCCAGAGTGCAGGGAAGAGGGAAAAAAGGACAGAAATAGAAGAAAAAAGAAAAAAACGAAAGAAAAGGAATAAAAACTACCAGCGGTGCTGAATGTTATTGAGTGCATGAATTATGTTTTGACCGCTTTGACAATTGCTTATTACAAGATATTGAAAGTGCACAGAATCTTGACTTTAAGTCTTATGGCTTGCCCCAATTAGCCTGCAGGAAGCGAGGTTTAGATCCCAGAATTAAAGTGAAATTTCATGAATTTTTATTCTGTATCTCTAAGAATTAGAGGAATTGATATCATCTCTTTATATTTTTCTCTGGAACAGGTTTTCAAAGATGGAATCAGGATTCATACTTTGTATTGGACAAATGAATTTCTAAAACACAGTGCAATAAAAAATAAATCATGATTTTGTTTTCAAGGTTGCTAACTCACAAAATTGTGATGCCAATGCCTCTGCAAAAGAAATATAAATTTTCAATAGCACAAACTTATATTACTTGTATTTTTGTTAACCTTTTCTAATTTCTGTTTCTTTTCATTTTTTTTCTCCTCCAGGCCATACTTGCTGCTCATATGAGGATATGAGGGATCATTCCGCTGTTGACCATTTGTCAGAAGAGCCAGGGGTCCGGATTACCATAGCAACAAATGTAATTCATATTTTTTTAAATTTTTGACAGAAGACTTAGCTAAAAACCAGTGAGCTGCGAATACTTATTCAATTCTTTGGGTCGGGAGGATCGGGTAAGGTTTGGAGGACGGGCATCTGTGTTGTACTGGTCAGGCTCTTGACTATTATTTATAATTTTGTAATAAGAGGTAGCAATTGCATAGTGCATATAATATTATTTGTAAAAATTTAATAAAGTCTAGCGTATATTATTTATAATAATGTACCGGTAATAATAGATATCATTTTTCTAGCATATATATATTTATTTCTCCAATTTTGTTATTTTGACGAGCGCCTGATTTCACCACACTGCCTCACATATAACGTTGGGTCTCTGATAGGATTCGAACCCACAGTCTTATGGTTGCAAGTCCAAGAGCTTAACCTCTAGACCACCGATGCCACTCTTCCAGAGAGAAAATATATATGAGTTTGATTCCTGCGAGGGGAAGGTATGAACTGTCAAGTATCTTGAGTAATATGTGAGGCAGCGTGGTGATATCAAGCGCTCGTCAAAATAGGCAAAGTGAAGAAACTAGTTTGTTTCCGCAGGTTCGGGAATGTTTATAGAATTTTTGTTTTTTGGCTAAACACCTTTCATGCCCTTTAAAGAACACATTTCTGTGTGGATTGTCCTGAAAAATGTTGATTTAAGGCATAAGATATGTCAATTTTCGGTTTCCATGGGCTCTTAAGCTAAGCAAATAACTAATCTTTGGCTGCCATTTTCTCACTAATTTTATCTCTGAAAACAGGTGACCCCCACCTCCTTCTTTCGCAAATATCACGATTATATTCAAGATAAATGTATATTTTTTCATCCAAATAAAGACAAGTGAATCAGCTTTAAGATGATACCAATAATTCTACATGCCCAAAAATTAACGAGAGCCTGATTCCACAACGCTGCCTCACATATACTTTTCTTTACGCAAACCAACTGTTAGGATTCTGCTTACATTTTCATTAGATATTGTTGCCATGAACGTTATGTTACATCTGGAAAAACTTGACCAACTTTTTTTTAACAAGTGGATTAGCAGTTCTGAACAATATTATTATATCTCTGTATTTAATATTTGTATTGATGTGTTTCAATACGTATGCAGTTTAAAGTGTATTACATGTATTTAAATATTGTGTAGCATTTTGTGCCTTGATGTTCAAGTGATTACCTATTGTGATGTAGTGATATTATTTTTTTTATGTATCCATGCTTTCTCCTGTCAATAAATTTGCTATGCATTTATTCATTTATGTAGGCCGACATAGCGGATGAAACTTAGGATGAACTTCCTATTGTGCTTACTGTGTACTTTCACTGCTGAGTTTTCAATCAGTTTTCAAAAGAAGTCTATTCTGTGTGTTCTCAAATGTCATATTTAGATCTTTGCTCTCTGCAATAAATAAATAAATGTTAATGCTATTGTTGTTAAAAGACAATGAATGTTTTCTGTTTACCTTTGATAAATATCTCAACCGAATTGGAGTAAAGCAGTCTGCTGACTGCCCACTATGTGACTACCCCTCAGAGACAGTGGAACATCATCTGTTC